TTCAATCTATTAAGAATATGAAACTCAGAAGAATCGTTGGCGTACAATGACATTTACCATGAATGTCGATAAATTCACCCACTGTGACGCCACTGAAAATATTATTTCGAATTCAATTGCACCAGAAGAAGCTTCATACTAGTATTTACAAAACAACAACGTTTTATCGAAATTGATAAAGAGACAATGATCGAGTATTGAATAAAAAAACGATTTTCCATGGAAATTTTAATACCCTGTATCTCGAAAATGAGGCAAGTTATAGGACACAATGTTCATATGAACTTTATTTCCTGAAATATCACAAGGAATCACCCCTTGATTTTTTTCAGTGTTATTCAGATACACCCTACCCTGTATATGAACTTTTCGTCTTAGAATCACCCGAATAATCGCCCCTTGAAGTTTGGCCACATACTTAAAAAACACCCCGTATAGTAAAAAAGCGAAGCAAAACGAACCTAGGACCCAATTCTCAAACGGTGAGATATTTTGTCGCATGCGAGATTTCTATATTGTCGAACAAAAAACGTGAGTGCTAATTCTCGAAGTACGCATTTGATAGACAAATTGTAGAGGGGTCTTAAACAGTCGATAATTTCATGTCTAATGCGAGATTCAATATCTGATTGATTTTCTCCACTTGTTATTTTGAGAATGGCAGCTTCAATAGAAATTGGAAATTTGGAAAATCAAGAAAATCATCAACGGCTACGAGAGAACGTATACAGGGTGTTTCACAGGTAAAGGGAAATATTTCAATGGTAGATAGGGGTCACCCAGCTGGTTCTGAAAATATCATATTTGATAGGTCTTTGAGTCTTCATAACGGAGATACAGGGCGATTTATCGATTTCGAAAAATTATTCATTCGTCTATATGTATCGACCTACCCAGTATATTCATCTCAAATTTGGTAAGAAGCTTATACTGGGCACGTTAAATTCATTCACCTATTGGGCGGAGTGAAAAACCATGTTCGGCTTCAGGAAAAATTTACATTTATTCGAAATATTAAAATAACCACACTATATTTAATAATTAACACAGTACATCAACAGAATTGTAAAGAAGAGGAAAATCTGAATTGGGTTTGATGCTTTTTGTTTTCCCGTCACCATTTCTCATCGTAAAAATCATAAACAGAAAGTTGAAAGTATGCAAATTTGAAGAGTATTGAAATTATGAAACCAGTGTCAATCATGATTATTCGATATTTCAGTCAAAAAATCGCTAGAAAGAACTTACTAAGTCCCACAGTCTTTATAACGGAGATACAGGGTGAATTATCGGTTTGGAATAATTATTCACTCGTCCATAAGTATTAATCAACCCGGTAACATTTTCTCAAATTTGGTATGTAGCTTACTTGGGACGATGGATTCATTAACCTATCAGGCGGAATGGAAATAATACAAAATAATTATAATTCGATAATTCGCCCTGTATCTCTGTTATAAAGGCTATGGGACTTCTCCTGAAGCTGAACCTGTATTTCCATTCTGCCTGATAGGTCAATGAATCCATCGTCCCAAATAAGCTCAATACCAAATTTGAGAAAATATTACTGCGATGGGTAGTCTAATACTTATATGGACGAGTGAATAATTATTCGAAACCGATAATTCACCCTGTATCTCTGTTATAGAAACTGTGAGACTTAGTAAGTTATTTCGAACGATCATTCAACAAGAATATATCAAATAATCATAATTGAAAGTGGTTTCATAATTTCAATACTCTTCAAATTGACATACTTTTAGCTTTCTGTTTATGATTATTACGATGAGAATTGGTGCCGGGAAAACAAAAAACATCAAATCCAGTTCATTTTTCCTCCTCATCACGATTTCTTTGATGAACTCTGTCAATTATTACAGTGTGTTATTTTAATATTTCGAATAAATGTAAATTTTTCCTGAAACCGAACCTGGATTTTCACTTCGCCCAATGGGCGAATTCAACGTCCCAAGTATAAGCTCCATACCAAATTTTAGGAAAATGTACTGAGTAGTTCAATACTTATAGACGGATGAATAATTATTCGAAATCGATAAATCGCCCTGTATCTCCGTTATGAAGACTCTAAGACCTATCAAATATGGTATTTTCAGAACCACCTTGGTGATACCCCTATGTACCATTGAAATATTTCCCTTTACCTGTGAAACACCCTGTATAAGAATGCGTTCAGATTTTTATCGGACATAAAATGTATAAAATCATGGGGTGAGGAATTAGTGGGAGTTTGTAGTCGAAAACAATCGAGAATACACACTCAGACATTGTGCGACAATTCATATCGACATATGTCGAATTCGACATGTATATGTAGTGCGACATTCGAGAATAGGCCCCCTGATGCCTCACCCTGTATACAGCCGGCTCCTCGGATATCTAACAATCTCGGTGCCTCTGTTTAATTGATAGCGATCTCATCTGATTGAATGTTTTGCCATCTCGTTGCGATCTGATTATACTCACTATACAGGTATTAATAGGTGTACGTAATTGTATCCAATTGGATACCCGTACTGCCTCGCGAAGTGATAGATTTACCAGTTAATTAATAACCTGTTAACTGGGATGAGACATCCACACGTTTCATGGAATGTTGTTGATTCAGTCGATCCTAGCAAATTTTACTTTCCCTTCAATTTTTTCATTATTTTTTAACGGATATATCACTGCACATAAATCACCGTTTTAGCATTTTAGCCTTACTTGTTGTTGCTTGTTAATCTTCTCCATAATTAATGAAATCCATATTTCATATAGTGAATGGTAAAAGGTGATATTAACTGGTGACGTAACTTCTGGTATTAGAAATAACTTTTTTTCTTGGTCATACATGTTGACATTTTGATTTTTGAAACTTTGGTTACAATTATTGCAATAAACTATCGAAAGCAGCTGCGATAGTGAGTTTGAAAATGTCCACACGAAATTTCCAATGTAACAGTTAGTAGCTATAGGTATTCTGTTCAAATTTCAGTATTTTTGATACACAGATAAAAGAATTTGTTTGAAACTACGAAATTTTTGTGAATTCAACAAAATCTGAGTGTCATATATCCACGACAAAATATTTTGTCACCGCAACAAATGTTTTTTATCAGTTTCAATTCAAAATTCATTCGATGTAACGCATTAATGATTCAAATTAACAGCAGGAATTGGTTGAATAAACAAAGACTATTTCGTTCCTATAATACAATATCTGCTCTCATGAACAATTTAGTTGATTGAAATGATTATATCATTTCATTCAAGTGACAAAATTTTCAGTTTTTCAGGGAGTGAATATGTTAAAATAAAAATATATTTTCTTCCATCAACAAAATGGTATTTAGAATTGACAAAATATTTTGCTAAATAATATTTAAAAAAATCCAATTACTGAATTTCAAAACTAAGAGAAATTAGAGATCAATTTCCTCAGTTGATTCAAGACAATTAGCTTTCATGAGCGTCATGAGAAATTGTAGGATAGCCTTATATAATTATATAAACGGAAGTTTTAGGTAGGTATATGTACACCCCAATCGAGGCGAGCGTAGGAAGGTTGGAAGAAACGCCACCTGGTGTCAAAAATGCAACTAGATAATCATTCAACAAAATATTTGTTTGATATAATGTATTTGTGGGTTCTGTTCAACAAAGTAATTTGTTTGAAATAACAACATATTTCTTGATAGTGATGTGTTGAATCAACAAAATATATTGCTGTCATAATCAATTCAATTTTGTCGAATAGAAAAAAACCTTCGATTGGTTGCACAATGATGATTGTAACTGTGAAAATACTGGGCGATTGTAGAAATGTTGAATTTCTTCATACAAACAAACCACAATCTAACCAGCGTAGCCTGATGATAGATTCACTGGATCATTACGAAGCAGTTTTATTTTATGTCAACACGAGATAGTATATCGGGTAAAACATATATATATATATATAACATGTCACCGTCGACTATATTCCTCTTGCAATGAAGAAAATTTTGTTCGTGAATTCAATATTCATCTGGAAACTACTAACAAACAACCAGTAGCCCATAAAAGTCAGCTTGTCACTGACATTAGTAAAATATTCGATGAAATCCATATTTTCGATTTAACCGCAGATCCCGTGAGTTATAATCCCGAAAGGGAAACTACGCGATGTATGTTTGGTTGCCTATACCACGATCGATTGTTAATTTTTTTTTAATTTTTTTTTATCGCTTGAAGCGCACGAAAGGGAATCCCTATAATGTTCAAAGAACATCGTGCGTTCCTAGGGAGGATAGGGACAGGAGGTATAGGTATTGGAATTTTTCTTGAACTTTTGGAGATTATATGTTGTTGGGAATACTTCCACAGGCAATGAATTCCAGAGCCTAGCCGTTCTATGGATGAAGGAGTCTTGATAAAGTGCTGTTCGACATCTTCCGAGGTTGACAACGGAAGGATGTGCTGACTGGGCTTGTCTAGTTCGTCTGATTGGTATTGCTAGTGAAGGGATGATAGCAGAGATTTCCGAAGAACATTTCTCGTGGAAGTATCGATAGAAAAGTGAAAGGTCGCCGACCTTTCTACAGTGTTCCAATGATGTCAAAGAGTGAGTGAGTGTGGCGTCACCCACCAGGCGAATGGCTCTTCTCTGGATGGAATCTAAGAGCATCAGCGTATGTTTTGGTGCTGAACCCCATATGTGACAAATTGATCGTTAATAGGGGTCATTAATGATCAATTTTATGTATATTTATTAAACTTGGTAACACGGAGTAGACGGAAACAAAAAGACAGCCTCTTACTGACATTCGAATGAACAGAACTACGCTATACTTAGTCCTAACCCCTCTCTATATGATTATCTATTCTCAGTCGACTATCTCGTTAGATATGGAGACGCAATCACAGTTACTGTCATGTCATCGGCTCGCTTATACTGGCCCACTAAAGTTTGTACAGATATATCAATGAAAATAACGTGAGATCGTGAAATAAATATCAATTTAGGAATAAGAACAATCCATGGGAAGTGAATTCGTCTTGAATGAAGCGAAGTAGGGCCGCGTGTTGAACACGGTGGTATAGGTCGGCAGTCCAGCAGGCGTGATCATCGTGGCATTTGGTGCTTCAATGCCTTCAATTCGAGCTTCAATTAGTTCAGCGATATATTCTCATTCTCGCCAGTCTCGGAGTGATGTGTTTTTCGGGGCACATTCGGCATTCAGGTGCTAAAATAAACCCCACGTATGCGGACGGCAATAATTACTATGTGCTGTGTCTACAAACAATATAACTTCTGTCTCAGTCTGGATCTTCAGTAATAGGCTGTACCGGGTGGACTACGAGAGCGTCCATCCAGCGTTGCCAACTTTTGTATACTCGAAATTATGACATTGCCTGAACTAATAATATCTACGAGATGTTTTGACTATTGACATAGTTGGCATCGGCAAAGCTGTTCATGTTTTAATATATTCAACATTGGCGACACTGTCCAAGTATTGACCATAATTGAAAGATGCCATGAAATTGAGCCAAACACAATCAGCTGTGGCATCCGCATATACACTGTTCGAAAATCTTGAATCATTACGTATGAGCTTTTCAAACACGGCATTTGTCATTTTGGGTATTTCGAAAAAATTATGATAATGTTCATTCGTGTAAAAATGGCAACGGTGATGTGTTTGAATATTTCCACCTCGATTTCCACTCTTATTCTCGTTTGATCCACTACCTTGAATGAACTGAGAAGACAACGCTGTTTATATCTCTAGTGAATTATTGCGCCATAACATCAATTTATTTATTTATTTATTCATTTGTATTCATTTATTTGTATTTATTTATAAAGTAAGAGATCCAAAACAGGCATGAGCCAAAAGTATTATCCACTAAAAGCAATACTACAGGAGATAATAATATACAAACTTGGAATTATAGAGAATAAAAAAAAGGTTTAAGGAAAGTAAAACGATACGAGATAATACATACTAATTATATGTGGCAAAAATAGCACAATAGGGAAAATGAATTCCGCTAATCCCTTAATCCCTACATGATGTTTTTTTTTCAATTTTTTGAAAAAAATGTGCGCTCTCTTCATATCACAGCTTTCAACTATCATTGATCATCCGGCAACATTGCAGAAATCATTGATACTATTCCGGTACTTTGGACCCCACTGGAAGCAAATGCTTGGGTGCGACTGATCAATGATTTACAGAATTTTCAGGCAAGTCAATATCTCCCAAATTGATTGCTTTTCGACAAAATTGTATTCCCCTCTCGTTTTGATTTTCGTTTTATATATCATACCCATTTCATTTATTGCCCTAATTTTGGAAAAACATGATGATGCTTACATTCCCTGATGGAACATGAACAGGAGACAGTATTCCAACTAGTTGTCTATATAGCATCTATAAATTCGAGATTTCTACTTGATCGCTCTATATTATTATGAAATCTCGTGACATCTTCAGTATTATATGATCAGTAAAACTGAGCTTACCTTCTAGGAAACAACCAGATCTTCGAACTGGGATACTTTTTCCAATAATTAGTTAGAATCGATATCATACTTTGTGAAATTCCGTGTGAAGGTATATTTTTCTCACATTATATATGAAAAAGCAGATTAAATCTTTTTGAAATAGCGAATTGTATCCTAGACAGTTTATTTGAGGAAAAATTTCACGTTCTTAATTTAGTATATAGTGTATGTGGTATGTAGAAATTTTAGGGTCGTGTTTCTGACTTCAAAACAGAAAGGAAACTCCCTTTCAACGGATGTCCGTGAGTCGAGCCGTGAGTATATATGGTCGTTTTGGAGATAAAGGACGATAATCTGGATATAAATAAACGGTCCTACCAATTTCAAATATTCAAATACTATCTCCACGGGTATTAATGTTTCATTCTCTTCAGTACATTTCCATTATCTTAATTACCGTTTGAATACTTTAAATAATCTAAATACTTTTGAAATCCTTCATAATTATTTTTGATTTATCATAAATGCACGTTGAAATCTTTTGCAATTGTTCAGCCGACGACGGCTTGTGATAACGAGAGCGAAAGAATGCGAATTTTGACGAAAAAATCTTAATCTCCCACCCCGAAATGTCTCAACTTTGGCCTTGATCGATATATCTGGCCCCACAGGAGAAAATGCAGGTAGTCCAAAATACGTTTATTTTTCATTTTTGAAGTTCCCCGCGAAGCTTCCTGGGACATATATCCATCCACCTAAACAACGGCAATTAAGCGCATAGAATATAGTATAAAACTATGAAAAAATCATAAAATTTGAATTAATAATCTATTTTTGTTATTTAATCACAGATAGTGCGCCAAAATCAGGGGACATCGAGCATGGATTCAATCAATGATATGCCTTATGTATTTTCGACAAAAAAATCCATAGTAAAATATTTTTTCCCAAGAAACTGACAGATTTCCAATTTCTTTTCGATTTTTGGGGTGGAAATGGAGTAGAAGTTATGCGAAAAAATCAGGGGACAGCATGATTTCAATCTATGACATGCCTTGAAAGAAAAATTCATAGGAAGCATTTTTTTTCCTATGGAAATGACAGAATTTCGATTTGCCCTTCAAATTTTGGGATGAAGATTGGGTCAAATTAGAGATATAATAACCTTATTTTGATTCTACTACTACTAGGCGTCCTTATTGATGAAAACACTTGTTGTATAACGAGATATTTTATTTTTCTTAAATATATTGAATATTCTTCGATACCCATTAATTATTTTTTCTACTCACATAACTAAAATGGCATTTAGCGTACGGATATGTACCACGCTAAATGATCGATTAATCACGGATTGACGAACTGTGATTTATTCAAAATATTAAACACGTTACCATGGCAACACGATTTCTTAAACACATTACCATGGCAACACAGTTCATTAAACACAGCTTCAGTAATTTGAGACATGTCTGGCCTGTCAATTGTAGGAACTTTCAACTGTCATTTTCGAAGTTTGTATCAGAATTATTCAAACAATATTCGTTTGTATCAGAATTCTTCATTCCATGCGAAAATATATGCGAAATGTAGACGAAAGTGAAATCAAAGAGAATGTTTTGGTACTTGCATAATATATCTCCAAGAAGTATAAAAATGAAGCATCCATCTTTGAGAACAATTCATTTATTCTGCACTAAGCATGACAATAAACGTGAAACAAAGGTTAGTAAGCAATGGACTGGACACATCTACAACCAATATAACTTATACGTGTCTCGATGGTTGCATGCAGTTACATGTATTTTGTTCTCAGTTCCCATTCCTTTCGAATTATTTTGTAGGTTAGTAGAAAAAGCATAGTATGTAACGCGTATATAAACTCTTCTAGACACTCGTTTATTAAACACTCGCTATGCTCTGCTCCGCTCGTGCTTAAAATACTCGTTACTAAAAGGACGTTTATAGCACTTGTTACATAATATACTATTAAGTAATCTCAAATAACTTCAAAATACCTCAATTACTCACGAATACAAAATATTTCAAATATGATGTACAGTTTTATGCGGTTTTATGGGAATTGTTCGCCCTTCGCGTACCTGTATAAAACTTATGACGTGATATCGCGGCCCGTCATCTTGATGTTCAAACGAGAACATTTCTTTATTATTTCTGAAATTCAATCAGGAACAAAAAATTTCAAAAGAAAATCAGTGCGCCTTTTCTCATCGCGATGAAGGTCAAAGAGTCATTGCGTTTCGAAAGAAATGATTGTTCTCGCCTATTCAACCAATAATTGCCGTCTCGGATGGCCGTTTGAATTGTTCCGTTAATTACTATTTTTGAAATGAACCGATTAGGCGGTGGACATCCAGGGTATTTCGGTAAGTTCGACAACCTGACGATGACATCATGACATCGATTACCATCAGGCAACGAAAAGTATTAGAGAAATACAGGATGTCCCGAAATTATATAGAAAGATTCCAAACACAGATTCTATGTACAGAAATGATAAAGAAATTGTAAATATTTTCGGAACCCTTTGTTATCAAATAACTAAATTTTGTACAAGTACCGAGACTAGTACCTAGCTTTTCATGCCTAATTTGAAAATGATGAGAATTTTCCGAAATTTTCAATAGGGGCGTGGGAAATAGGTGGAATCACGGCACTTTTTCCCCCAACTTCTTTGGTTATGCAATTTCCGGCAGGGTTGACCAGGAAATGGGAATATATCATAATTTTTACTCAAAAAAGGTACTCCTGTATAATTTTGATAGCACTCACCATTTCCAAGTTTCATATATATTTCAAAAGTCTGATACATTATAAAAATAGTACTTTTTCTTGAAGTGCCCACCATATTATTTTTCATCTCGTTTTTCAATTCATTTTTTCTATTTCACTTCCATATTTCGAATTAAACATCAAAAGTATATGTTGGAAGAAGTTGTATTTTCCATCAAAAAATTTTTTTTCGATTCGGTACCCCATAAGGAAAATGCACTATTTTTATTACGCTGCTTAATTTTAAAATCGAAAATGGTGGATACTATTGGAACTAAAGAAGAGTGCCATTCTCAAGTGAAAATGTTGAGATTTTCAGCCGAAAATTGCAAAAACAAAAAAGTTTGGAGAAAAAGTGCCCCTAGCCCACCTATTAATAATAAATATTTTCGAAACCCTCTATGATAAAATAACTAAATTTTGTACTAGTACCGAGACTAGTATATACCTAGCTTTTCATGCCCAATTTGAAAATGATGAGAATATTCCGAAATTTTCCGAAATTTTGACCAGGGACTTCTTTGTTTATGCAATTTTCGGCTGGGTTCAGGGTTGAAAAAAAACATGTATTTTTTAATTTTATACAAAACACATGTTTTTTTTTTTCAAACGGTTTTTTTTGTTTTAAACATTGTTTTTTTTTGTTTCTGAATTTTATGATTTAAACAAATAAAACTTAGAAAAAGACATTGTTCGATTCAAATTTTTTCAAACATAATATTAATTCAGAGATTAATTCAAAATGTTTGTTATAATAATCTTTAGTATTAGTCCACTAAATAATAGATTCCTTATTTGAAGTCAGACTCTGTATACTAAACTAAACTGTCCCAATTGCGATGAGG